ACTCTCCAAGACTCCTTGCCAAGTTCTGCAGATATGGGGCTGGCAGCTCTCCAAGCCAGATAAGGTCTCTGATCGTAAATCCTCCTTGGAAAGACATTGCCGGCTGTGAATGAGCAGAATTCACAGTAAATTAGTAAAAGAAGTTTTTTGCGGGACAAGGAGTTTGTTTTGTGCTCTTGGGAAGCCTCGGTCAGAACGCTGACAAAGAGATGTCAAGAGCTCTCTAGGGTGGGCTACGTGGAGTTCCCTCCCCCCCTTCAAACCAGCCTGGTGCCAACAGATCAGGGCAGATGAGGAACCTTGGTGGGAACTATAGAGGTGGGCTGTACCAAGTAAAGGTAAAGGGGCAGCCTTGAGCTGGAGGGATACGAGCTGTTTCCCAGAGGAGGCAAGGGGCAGTCACTGAGCAAGATGGTGAGGGCCTTTCTCTGTTCCCGTAGCCACCCGTCACCTGGAGAGTATGTGGAGGTTCTGGGCGAGCTTCGTGGGTTGGAGAGCAGACTCCAGCCTTTCCTGCAGAGATACGAGGAGGTCCTGGGAACTGCTGGCACTGCCGACTACAACAACAATGTAAGAGATGTCTGGTTTTAAAAAACTGAAAGTTGAACTTTGACCTGGGAAGCCGCCATTTTACCCCTTATTTCTGCATTTGCTGGGGATCTGAAGCTGGGTCAGTGTCTTTATTTCCATCGAAACCATTTGGTTTGTCGTTAAAAGTATTCTTTCGATGTATGCGCTGGCCTTCAGTCCTTCGGTTGAAGAGGCCTCAGTTCTCGGCTTGGTTCCCCCATCCTGTTTGGGTCTGAGCCGCTGTTTAAAGCGCTTCTGGGTTGAAAGGATCAGCTGGTGACATCACCGTTCCCTGCGGGACACCCTGAGGTGATATTCAGCAACTTCTGACCAGTTCTGGAGAACCGGTAGCTGAAATTTTGAGTAGCTTGGAGAACCGGTAAATACCACCTCTGACTGGCCCCGCCCCCATCAATTCTCTGCCTCACGAGTCCCAGCTGATCGGGAGGGAATGGGGATTTTATCCTTCCCCTGCCACGCCCACCAAGCCATGTCACGCCCACCAAACTACATCCACAGAACAGGTACACCCATGGAAGGGGTTATTTTTGTGTCCCCACCAAGAAGCTGGAGCAAGTGACGGGAGCTCACCCTTTCCCTCAGCATTGCTTGGGTCTCGAATGTGGGCTTGCTAGCCTCCAAGCCGTCGTCCTAATCACCTGAGCCGCACGCTCCTTTTCTGGGCTCAGGTTTTTTTGATCTGACTCAGCGAGGTTTGGGGGTGATTTTTAGGCTTTGTAAGGAACAATTCCCCTCCTCCGCCTCTTCATTTTATTCAAATCCCCTGCTTTTCTTTTGCTAGACGGAAGGGCGCGAAGAGGACCAACGTATTATCAACCTGGTGGGAGAGTCGCTGCGCCTGCTGGGTAACACCTTCGTCGCCCTCTCGGACTTGCGCTGCAATCTCTCCTGCAGCGCCCCCCGCCACCTCCACGTGGTGCGGCCGATGTCCCATTACACAGCTCCCATGGTCCTGCAGCAAGCCGCCATCCCTATCCAGGTGAGACCTCAGCCCCTGAAGGCCGGGGTGCCTTTCCTCAAACCGGGAAATGGATGTGGGTCATGGCTCCGGTTTCCCTCGGCTGGGTGAAGAGAGCTCAGCGAGGGAGAGCGCAGAAGACCCCCTGTTTCTTCCTCCCGTGTTCTCGCTTCAGATTAACGTTGGAACCACCGTCACCATGACGGGAAACGGTGGCCGTACCGTCCAGACCAACCTAGAAGGCTCGGCTGCTGCTGCTGCTGCCGCTGCTGCTGCCCAAGCCGCTCCCACAGCTCAGCCTCGCACTTCCAGTCCCGTGGAGTCGACTCAGCCCTCCGAAGGCTCACCTCCTTCCCACTCCCCGGGGGTCACCCCTGTCCCGCCGCAGGCCTCTCAACCCGGGCACCCCCGTGTCATCCGCATTTCACACCAGACAGTCGAGCCTATGGTTATGATGCACATGAACATACAGGGTGAGTTTGGGAGGCCTGATAGAGAGATCAGGGCTGTTCTGGAAGGTTGTGCTCAATAGAAGACAATATTTGTAGCTCAGGGGTGAACTTTGGGGTCTTGGGGGGTTTCTGAGCTTGGTTGTTTTCTTGCAGACGTTTCAGTAACTCAATGAGGTTCTGACCTAGGCTTCCTGAGGCAGTGAAAAGCACACGCTTAGTCCCCCAAACCCTCTTTTTGTTTCAACGGCTGTGAATTATGTTCATTCACGGCCCGTAAGGAGTCCCAAATAGTTTGTAAAGAGTCTGATAGAAGTTTGTCACAGTTTTTCCGGAGAAGCACCTATCTTTATCTCCCTTGAAACGCTGCCAAAGACCTAATTGGCAATTACAAGGCCACACGCGGAGCACAGAGTCACAACGGAGTTTCAGAGTTTAAACCGAACAAAACGAACAAAGTTGATTCCTGAATGTACCTTTGTTCCACAGTGCGCGGAGCCTGTGCGCGCCCTGACAAGCAGCTGGGTTACTGGGGAGGGGGTGGGAGAAATATTACATGAAGTGAAATCCAGATCATCCAGAGAAAGAGAAATCAGGGGAAAGAAATTGATCTACGATCAGTTTTTGAAGTCCACTTCCTTTTCTCCCTCTCTAGACTCCAGCTCCCAGTTGGGCAGTGGCAGTGCCGGTGGAGTGCCATCAATGGGACCCGCTGGTTCAACCGGACACTCCCAAGGGATGGGTAAGGAAAATGGCTCCTGCCAATCTGGGGGTCCGGCTGTGGGTTTGCCCATTTCCGGCCCTGTTGATTTCGCCTCGTGCTCTGCTGTTGCTTCTCTCCAGGTAGCGGTGCCCACATGCCTCTACCCAGCCTCCCACCGGAGTTCATGCAGGCGGTTGCCCACCAGATAACACAACAAGCCATGGCAGCAGCAGCCTCAGCAGCTACAGGTAAGCAGCCAAGGAGGAGAAAGAAAGCATCTAGGTAGGTACAGTGGTGGGATTCATAATAATTTAATAACCGATTGGCCCAGGGTCAGGTTGGCTGTTGTGAGAGGCATGGCCCATCCTTGTCCTCCAGTTCTGCCGCACATGGAGGATGAGCCTCCTGCGGCGGCCAACCTGACCCTGGACGAATCAGTTGTTGATCCCGGGCGCTGCACTGCTCTGCAATGGAGAAATGGTCAATGGAACGGCCGGCACGAGGAAAGGAGGAGGAGCAGGGAGAAGAAAGGGAAAGGGGCCTTCACCTTCCCTCGTGCCAGCCGCTCTGTTGCCCGTTTCTCCACTGCAGCGCAGAGCCCAGGATCCGCTTTGATAGTGGGAGGTGGGTGGGTAATTTTAACCACCGGTTCACTTGAACCGGTGCGAACCGGCTGAATCCCACCACTGGGTAGGTAGCCCTCGACTTAACAAGAGTTCATTTAGTGACTGTTTGAAATTACAACAGCACTGAAAAGTGACAACCGTTATTCCCGCTTCCAATCCTTGCAGGCCTCCCCAGGGTTACGTGATCCAAATTCAGACGCTTGGCAACTGACTCATATTTGTGACGGTTGCAGTGTCCTGGAGTCTTGTGATCCCCTTTTGCGACCTTCTGACAAGCAAAAGTCCCTGAGGAAGCGAGAGTCAGTTAACAACCGTGCGAACTAACTTAACAACTGCAGCGGTTCACTTAACAACTGTGGCAAGAAAGGTGGTGACATGCGGCAAAGTTCACTTGACAACTGTCTCGCTTAGCAACAGAAATTTTGGGTTCGATTGTGATTGTAAGTCGAGGACTACTTGTAACAAGGGGTGTTCTCCCTGAAACGGGGAGCAGGGAGGATCTGTCAGATCCCTGAGAGCTTAGCCTCCTCCGTGGAGTGCCCAAGACCCTGATCTTGATACACAAGTAGTCCTCAACTTACGACCACAATTGAGCCCCAAATTTCTGTTGTTAAGTGAGATGTTTGTTAAGTGAGTTTTGCTGCATTTTACAACCTTTCTTGCCACAGTTGTTAAGTGAATCCCTGTGGTTGATAAGTTA